AAAAAAATAGGCTTTACCTACGTAACTAACCGTTCCAATCTGCGTATATACTAACTGCCTCCGTGGCCGAACGGTTACCATGCCGGACTGCCATGCAGAGGTCCTGGGTTCGATTCCCAGGCCGGGAGAAATATGTGTATGGCCTACATTTATTTCTCTCGTGAGTTTGGGTGTAATTTGTGGTTGTCTATGTGTGTGTCCATGGCACCCGCGACACAGGGTTTCCCTAGTGCGGGGCTATGTTGAGTGTGTGCGTTATTATTATTATTATTATTATTATATAGTAAAAGGCGTGATAGTTCGTATGAACATTTGTCAGATGTCCACGTACAGTAGTAATTAGTGTATTAATTACCTTTAATTCCCCCCGCTTACCTCGACTATTAGGTCGCGTCTTCAACGAATGTAATCTTATTATCTCTCTCTTGCATTAAGGAATTGTAATGACTGTGAGCGAGAGAGGAAATGTCAGATAAAGAGGTGAGGGTCAGATTTACAAGTGATGTAGTTTACTGGACGTCTGCCAGGTTTACATGGCGAGAAATGCGTTTTCCGATTTGAAACAAAAAATATCGATATTGTCACGTTTTATGACATCGGTTTGTTATATTATGTATCACCTGCTGCCCTGTCTATCGCGTACTATAATTAATAAGTTAATTTGCACATGACTTCAAAAAAAGTCTCAATCAAATGAGATCAATCCTCAACATTGTGGTCGCGCGAGATATTCATTTATCTTTTCATAAAGTAGTGACCCATATCGAAATAATTAATTTTTTACTTATTAATTATGCAGTTGTATTTAGATTAAGCTAAATTTTATTTTGAATTAGTCACCGAGCTTTATATTGATATTGAACGTTGTTAATACTCTAATAAACTTCATTCAATAAAAACAAATATGAAAAATATAGAGATTTCGTCAACAATTTCTGACCTTATGAAAATCCCGCCCTGTATCGTAGCTGACTCAAAAGTGCCCATTTTAGTGGCAGTATTACACCACGTATTACAAAATCTTGCTTTTTGGTACGGGTTGGACCTTGACCTCAGCATTATGCTCAAACCTAGAGGCCTTTGAGATGTGGCTATATAGACGTATGCTTGGTATATCTTGATATAAAAGAGTCACCAATGTTAAGATTTTGCGTCGAATGGTGAAAAAGCTGGAAATAATAAAAAGGAAATTGCAGTATTTTGGCCATGTAATGAGCGACAATAGATACCGGATTCTTCAACTAATAATGCAGGAGAAAAGCCAAGGAAAACGTAGTCGTGGCAGAAGGAAAACCTCCTGGTGGTTCAACCTTAGCACACGTTTTCTTTATTATATCAAATGGTAAGCTACATTTCTGTCAATAACAGTTGCAGTGGCATTCAGATTTAAACAGCAAAATCACGTGCACTACCACTGAGCCTGTTATCCTGAGACATAAGTTGACAAGTCCCACGAGCGTGTAATTTCACCAGTACCCTTAGTCTTCAAAACCGGAACGTAGTAATGCTCACATTACTGCTTGGCGGCAGAAATAGTTCAGGTGGCAGTACTTCCCAGGACGAACTCTTTCCCAAGAAGCTCTACTAAAGTAACATTTTCTGTTTGAAAGAGATAGATACACTGAACGTAAATTAGCTTTAATTGATATGATCAACACTATTGTATCAAGTCCATGTAATATGAAATATGAATGCCCGGCATGGAAACCTTGCTTAACCACTGTTAAATCAACATATCATGTGTATCAAGGCCATCAGTCATTGCGCTCAGTAATATCGACTCTACACCCTTGTGATAAGGTTTATACATCCAGTTAAGTAATATTATGAATTGACTCTCATTTGCAGTATTAAAAGACCTTTGATCGTATTCAATATTGATATTGAACTACGTCGAAAACAATGTATTTTTTTAGGTTTGTTTTATTATTACATGCAAAACAATTTGTTACAAACGTATTTTACTGCGGACAATTCTTCAATTTCAAATAAAAATATATGTGAAATAAATACTCTACCTACATTTTAACGAAAAGTTGGAGAGAATCGAATGTAACTTTTGCATACTTACAGACTTAATACATATGAACTAAACAAACTAGCAAAGTAAATACATACATATAACTACATTTCATTTCTTACGACTCTAAATAACTTACGTCCTGAAAGTAACCGTCTAAAAAATTCTTTGCTCTAATTTTTCTTTTTTTTCAAAATTTTCCCACAATTATGCAAGACTAATCAAGACATAGAACATGAAACTTAAAATCGATCTATGAGAATAAGTTTTTTCGTCAAAATTGTAAGTTAATTGAATTAATGCTAAACGAATCGATTTTTTAAATATATTTGTTTGTTAGGAGTCAGAAATAAATACAATTCAAAATAAAGCAAACATCTTCAAATTTTAACTAAATTTTAATACAATAAGAAATACAAGGAAATATAACATAAATATATCACCTATTTATTATAAATTACATTATAATTTAACATAAAATAAATAGGTGATCCCTTAAAAGTCCTATTTACCATGATTATGATAAAAATTTCCCGTTTCAATCGCGTATACCTCCACGTAAAAGTTGTACCCTCGGAAAATGGACGGACTGTCCAATTCTATAGTGACAAATTTCTCCCCAATGCCACCACTTTTGATGTACGCCTCGCCCCACTTGTCTTGTCTCAAATCCATGATCTTTATAGCGTTAATTACTTCGTTTCTTGAACAATTGACGGTAAAAACGTCCGATCGAACCCATATTGCGGGGTTTTCTTGGTGAACTTTGCTATAAATGACCTTTGATGATAAATCTGGATATCCCAGGTACAAATCATGGGAGTAACACTCGAAAATGAAGAAAAATACTATTGCTGAGACTTTAAACATCTTTATGTCTTCACTTTATGGTGTCGAGGCGGAAAATGACGAGCATTGAGGTCGAAAACATGTGTACCGAATAATTTGCGCGTAAGCGTTAAAATTACCGGCAGTTTCAATGAATGGAAATTGTTTAGAATTTGCCAATACGGGGAAGATACGAAAATCACGTGTTGGATTAACAAATAGCAAGATAAAGACGTTTAAATTGGAGACAATTTGTTCTTTTTTAGTATTTCAAAACCAGAATTAACACAAAAATACGGAAAAATAATTAACCTAAATTTAAACGTCAACGTTTAATTTTGATCAAAACAAGAGTCTTTAATGCGATGTACTCCAACATAGTACAAGACATACCCTCGATGTTTCTGGAACAAGGAGCATTACAAGCCAGTATAATGGAACATGCAGCAATAATTTACATGTTGCCTTATTGGAAGTGTTATAAAGTTGGATTTTGAATCTTAGGTCTGAACCCAGCGTGTCTGTACGTGTGACAAATAAACCTTTACTTACTTCATTTATCAAGTTTCACAAAATCAATGACGTAATGTTGTCACAAAATTAGGCTTCTTCCGTAAATAGTATTCACTAACACGCAATATTAATAAAACTAACAGTTTACTGTTAAACTTATTACATGGAACCCATGATGTCACCTAGCTATATCAATTCCGCCTTTTATAAACTTGGAAAATCGTCAAGATTGTCATTTGTCAATCAATGTTCGAAGAAAAAACATAGAGTACCTCAAGGAACGTAACTAGTACCAGCGTTATTTAAATTTAATAGTTTTAATCCTACTACGGATAAACAGACATTCATAATGCATGAATTAGCATTGGCAATAACCTTATTATACTTGGGAGCGATTACAGCTAATGACATTCGGCTGGGTGTAACATCACCAAATTCAAGAAAGATATATAGTGAAATTAAAGAAGTAAATCCTGCGTTATGGACAAGGACTGATGATATTATCGTAAACGCAGTTGATAACGAAATTATATCAGCCATTTACGTGACAGATCTTCGTGATGACAAGTCTGGTGAAGCGTATATTGAAAGTGGTGGTGTAGGAGATAAGAGTGTTACCATTGGATTGAGAAGTCCCTCTATTTTGAGAGGTTACAAATTCGAAATTGAAGTATATGCTAGTAGTCCTTCTGGCTTGTATCAGAATCCTTATAGAGGACAGTATACTAAAGGTGGTGCTTATGGTTATGAAGGACAGTATGGTAGGAAGTTTTAATGTTTAAGTGTCATGTAAATAAATGCGTTTATATTTTGTTTTTGTTTTTTTGGTGTTTTATTCTCTTTGCACTATCTCATTAACCAAAATGATCATACCATCATGTTATGATTATCACAAGTACAGAACACGTAGACTATAAACAGGGTTACAGAAGCAAATATGCCTCTATATGTTTAACATAGGGAAATTACACTTAGTTAAAAATATACATAATTCCAATGAGAAAGAAGATATCCTTTATATTAACCTTAGAGCTAAGTCCAAACTCATGGTACCAAGATTTCGTCTAACCAAGGTAAACGCCTCTTTCATGGGGAACTGTATACGTTTTTACAATAAGATTCCGGAGCATATATTAAGATTATCATTTCAAAGAAAAGAAAAGTCAAATTACAAAATTGAAGACCACGTGTTAGATAAAGATGTAAGGAAAGACGACATGGCTTTAGATTCCACATAAATTTGTTTCGAAGTGTAGCATTTAAGTTTATTTGAAAAGTGCCATCCCTTGAGTTCCTTGCTCATTCTTCTCAGGGAAGTCAGCGTAATGACGAGCAGTAGCTTAAATGTGACGTTTTTAATTGTAAATTTATTTTACCTATTAAATAAATAATTCTTTGATTATGAATTTGTCTTTGAGTTATTGAAAGAAGTTAATAAACTATGTGATGATTCTGGACATGGATATAATATTTATATCAATTTACACTCTTCCTCAAGTAAACTTTAGAAATATCACACAATGAACAGTGGAATGAAAATAAAGACAGCTGTCTCAAAGTAATATTTTCTCACTTAAACGACGTACGTAACGAAGTCAGTGGAAATCACACAAATATAAAACTATATCTTTTGTTCCAGCAACATGGGGCTCATAGACTTCGAGAAATGGTCAAATCAGCCAGGACTATTCACCGAGAAATCCAGACTATGCGCAAAGATTCGCGGTTTGACGCCAGGTCAACGGCGCATATGTCGACGGCATAAGGACCACATGCCTGCGATAAGTGCTGGAGTGAAGGAGGGTATCAACGAATGCCAGTTCCAGTTCAAGGGAAAAAGATGGAATTGTACTACTACTGGTGACGAGACTGTGTTTGGACCTCTTACTTTGATTGGTAATTGAATTTTCTTTCTGTTCATTCATATTCTTTTGGTACTTCAAAGTAGGAAAAAATGGTTTTGTGTTTCAAATGAAAAAAAGAACCTACTAACTGCAACCGCCGTACCTTGTAATGCCACTAAAAGAAAAAGCTGTTATTGTTATTGATACAAAGATCAAACAAACAAACAAAAAAATAACCAGAAATAGAAGACGAAATGTCATTTAATTTGTTTGAAAACTATTCTGCAAATCATTGACAACTTCATTGTCAACAGTGACAACTGTGCTCCGAGTGGCCAGCCCGAATTCGGAACAATTGACGGGTGTCGTCAATTCTTTCACTTCAAATCGACCAGTTTATCTTGAGATTTGCTATAATGGACGAGAATTGAAAAATTACATATTTATTACTTAATTACCGATGAAATATGATTCCGTTTGTGTTATAATTAGATGTTTTGTTGTTTTTCTCATACCATCGAATGGAACAGCCCCCCATTGTTACAGATATTATTTTTATTATAATAAATACAGAATATTTTTGGAATATAAGGAGACATACACACAAGTCAGTTATTGGCGCTGTACTATTTTAGCTTTCTAATTTGTGATTTCAGCGCAAACGAGACTTGATATTTAAAAGTGATATAAGGCCCATTTGCCTGATGAGTTGCCAGAGATGGATAGCCTTTATTTCGTCGTCGCTACGGATCAAGCAAGCACTTCTTACGAATTGTTCTGTGTGGTTAATGCGGAGCTCTGTATTAGGTTTAAACTGTTTTTTTAGCGTAGCGCTACATGAACAAGTCTCTATATATCGTATATCTCTGTATATCGTAGCTAAGTTGGCAGAACGGTAACCACGTTTAGGCAACATTCAGATATTTTATAATTATAACTTTTTTATTTAATAAAAACCGACCTCAAAAGTTTGCTTGTCGGCTTTTTTATTGGAATTACATTTATTTGCCAAATTTCATTGTATTCGGTTAACAGAAAGTGTGCGCTCTTTCCCTCTTTCCAACAAAAAAGGATCAACACAATCGGTTCACAAACGTTGTAACATACACACACATTTTTTGAAGTTTGTTAAAAACGCTCAACGCGTGGAGAGCATACAGCGAGCGTTCACCAGACATTTGGCTTTCTGTTCCAGCGGATTCTCTCACAGGCAACCGTATGAACAGCGTTTACAAAAATTCAACATGGTAACTTTGCGTGATCGAAGGCTTTTGTTGGACTTGTGTTTCCTGCACAGGCTCATTAATGGACTGGTCCAATGTAGTGATTTACACGAATGCATTTCTCTGAGTGTCCCGTATAAATATCCTAGAAACGCAATAACAAAAATTTTCTATACCCCCCTTGTAAAACCAATCTTGGCCTTCAATCCCCTTTGACTAGGATTTTCAACGAGTACAATACGATTAACAGTAAAATCGAGGACTTAAATGTGTACCACGACAGGATAAATATTTTTGTCAATAAAATTTCAAAATTATTCAAATTTGATCAGTAGGTATCGATAACGTTAATTTAAATTAAGTTAATATAAGTTGTTTTAGTAACCCTTCTATTATAAATGCTATGTACACCGTAATTGTCATATATATCAGATGTAATTCCGTATGTTGAATGTTGAAATGTTGTAATATATATGATGTGGTAGTGCTTAATAAATAAATAAATAAAAACGGTTCTAATTTTTCAGAAAATTGTGAATAAAGATGAATAATAATTCAATGCATACGGGATAAACTTATAACCTGTCTTGTATGGTATGTTTCTACCAATGATTTCAAAGTACACAGGAATAGTGTTTATCATGCTATCTTGACGTCTACATAAATAATAATAGAAAAGGCCGTCATCGTGCACCACGTGCTAAGCTAAGAAATCAAATTAATATTGTAATTATTAGTTACCAACTACTTTATGTAACACGTATCTACCGTAAAGCTAATTTCCAACAAACCCGATAAGTTCGTAGCAAAAAAAATTGTTAAATTACTTTTTCTGATGCGGTTGGTCATGGCGACACTCTTTAAAATTAGTATTTAAAATTTTGATCCGTGTGTCCTAAGATCCAGAAGCGATTTTCTTACAATTATAATGACGAAGAAACTGAAATCTTGGCACAAAAAGACAAAATTGTGACACAATCACGATATTTTTGGAACATTTTAGGATTGTTTTTGGGACAGAGTTAGATCAGAAGTAACAAAGAAACTATATACGCAATAAAATTATATAATGCAAATATTTAAAATATAATTATTACAATTAATAAAACAAACGAAATCTAATTAGCCTCGTAATTAATTTACAAAAAATATAATTTTGAATTACAAAAAAATTTGGCACCACAGCAAAATGTACTAGGAACGAATAACCATTGGGGACTTAACCCAATACACCTGCTATAATTACAATGCCAATGCTAGATATAACGAATATTTACATATGCCTTCCATAAATGGTAACAGTGAAATTGAAGCCATTTCCTCGTTGACTCTTCAGGTTAATCTTTACAAACTTATATCCAATGCCACCCGATTCCACCGTAGCGTAGCCACCATTATCATTTTCGTAGTTGTCTATTACAAAAATAGCACTAATCACTGCGTTATTCACGTGCCCGGGTACTGGGTATTCAATGGTACTTTCTCGAACGATGAATGGGAATCCATATTTGTATTCGGTGACTGTATAAAGTATTACGTCTCCGTAAGATAGTTCGCCCAAATTCAAATTATGTTTGCCGAATGCCGTGGCAAAGACACAAAGTAAGGTAGCGATTGCAATTGCGCGCATTTTGTTGTTGTTGTTTGCTGCACACTAGCGCGTTAATTTGGTGAAATGTTTTTTATATTAAAGGAGAGGATTATGCAATATTGCTACAAGATCTTAAAACAACAGATGAAGGGATAACGGTATATCATAGTTTTCACGTTAAAAACAATATTTATAGCGTATTTATCTTATAACAAGGATTGAAAGAAAATCCCTGCTGAACACCATTTAAGAATTAGATTAGAATATCACTAACATTAAATTTTTTGTTTTATTTTCATGAAACCAAATGTCGGGACTAACAAGTCGTGCGCTTGATGGGAAGCGACACGCCCATCAGTTGCAGTGCCACTCAGAGCTTTAAAACACAAAGATCAGAGTATTGCCCAGAGAGATAGGTTGAAAAGTCTCATGTGCCTGTAATTTTACCAACATCTTCACCCTTTAAAACCGGAGCGCAGTAATGCTCACATTAATACTTGGCGGCAGAAATAGCTAAGGTACTTCACGAGGAGTTCTACTGCCACTAAATTTAAAATTATAGAAAAATATTTAGTGAGTTCTATTTACATTTTGTAACATATTACCATCTTCTTCTTTTTATCGTATCGACAGCATACGCTATAAAGATTCCTATCGAAATGGACTCACCGATTGTTGCCCAGGGTGCGCCAAATGTTACAGTTAAAGAATGGTACGTCGTGCGGGGAGGTTTTGTGCACATGTGCAGTGTACACATAATTACCATATATGTATAATGACGATTTCGTTATCGAAAGTTTCAACCAAAATTATATAAAAATAGGATCAATACTGCAAAAGTAACAGAAAAATATGATTTTTTGCCTTAAGCTGACCTGCATGAAGCTATTCTTAAGTAAATGAGCAAATAAAGTGTGACAAATGAGCCTTATAAAATGTGACACGGCTAAGAAAAGACGTGTGACGCAGTTGTTGCAATGACACCTCAGTAAACGATCTTGCACTTTCTGTTTACGGGAAATTTTCATTTTGCATTTTCCGTGATCTGCATGTGATCTTTCCTTATGTTTTGCCTTGTGAAAATATTATACATTGATTTTAAAGACAAATTTAAGTTGGACTCTCGATTTGATCACTATCTTCACCAGGATATACATATGTATTTTTGAGACTTGGCTGACAGAAGAAAAACAAAAATTGCTACTTTATAGCGGTTATAGTATTGTAGCAGGATTTTGCAGGAAAAATCAGATGGAAAGAGGTGTTTGTATACTCTTACAAGACCATATCCAATACACGGAGATATATATCTAGCATGTCACTCGAATATATATTGGTAACTGCAGTTGAACTACACAAAGAATTTAATTTTATGCAATCCTTGCATAATGCGAATTCTTAAAGGCGAGTACGCACCATGTCCTTTCTTTATATTGTGATAGTGATTACTATAATTGTAAAAAATTCTAGGATATTTCAGTTTAATATTGACAACGGAAAAAATGCTATCTTCAAATTAGCTTTTTACAAAATAAAAATGACCTCTAAGTTCGTGTTTGTTTCATTCGAATCGGTTACCGGAAAGTGCGCGAAACCGATTCATCCCCTAGTTTGCCACCTATATTTTCTTCAAATTTAATGGGACCAATAGTGTGGAGTTTTTTCGATAACAAAAATACAGTGGAAATGAGAACCACCTTTTTGAAGTCGGTTAAAAAGGCGTAAAGCAAAATAAATTTAAAAAAATAACGTGTCAATCTCAGATACAGCACAATTAGAAGCGGGTGAAAATCGATTTACGAGATTTTGTTATACAAGTATTTAGTTACAAATTAAAGTAATCAAACCCGTGGTGATTAACGTAAGCAAACTTATAAGGTTCAATTTGCATTGTTGCTGAACGGAATTGAAGCTAATTGTTACAACAAAATGTGCACAGCAAGAACTTTGTGTCAATTATGTAATAAACTAGATATGATACCCTTTTGACAAAGTGAGTTCACAATAGCTGAATTACTCAAAACGTAGTATCTCGAACAAAGAATGGAAATTCACATTTGTGCTCGATGGTATTAGGGCCGAAACAAAATTTGCGAATTGCTCCGCATCGCGCACTCCTGCGATGTTAATCTTCTTTGTGTTTTTTTCGTATACTTTCTTATCAATAACAGCGTTGTACTCTTTTTATGATCCATGTCGCTACCTAGTTTAAAAAATATGTTCAGTACGGTCGATGAT